CGCCAGGGCAGGCAAGAGTAAGTGAGACTGACCTGTATTCATGATCAAGACTTTAACAATAACACAGATGTCTAGAAGTGTGTGTTACTGGTCTCTCTCATTGAAAAATGCTAACTGTGCACGTGCATTTTCTTAACAGTGGGTACACCTGTTTACTGTTTGATTGTTTTCTTAGAAGTTCTGTTATGTTATGGTCAAATAGTTCATCTAATCAAAAAAAAAAAAAAAAGGTTTAGGTTTTATGCCCATTCTTCTAGAAAGCATTGTCTGATATGTAAATATCTATTCGGTGTAGTCTGAGAATTGTCTTGTTATGTGGTTTTATGTTGTGTCTATTCTAGAAAGTCAATAATCGTCTAGACAATAGCAACACTGAAACATTTCCGAGACTTGTTTCCTTTCAGCGTCTATTCCCTTGTCTCATTACAGAGTCTATTTTCAAACACAAGAAATATCAACAGTCATGGTAAGCTTCGAGTTTCAAAGTTGTCATGTTCTTCTTGCTTTCAAACAAGCAAGTGTTGTGTATCAAACAGTCTAAGTACAATAATGGTTATCTTGTGTGCAACAAATACATGTATTGGATTGTCACCTCCAGGGCAAGAATAGGACTACCGGCTCTGGTCTTCATCGACACTTTGAGAAATGTCATAACCAGCACTGCAAGATTCCCGTAGACATCCCCACATCATGCTTCTTCATTTCCTGCCACCTGCAATGCGGAGCCGCCTTCCACCTTTGTAAAGAGGATGAGCATCGTCTTCTCTGCCCTAAAGAAATTGTACCCTGCCTCAACGCTGGTTATGGCTGTCCCATGACCATGACTCGTCAAAGACTTGCCCAGCACCTAGAATTGTGTCCTGCCAGTGTCATCACATGTACCCTGGAGTGGAACCGATGGCCTGTGAATGAGACTGATACCATGTTCTACAGGAACGCCCTCCAGGATACAACCAGCATGAGTCAGTTGGACCTTGCTATGGCCCTTAGAGATCAGAAGCTTCTGTTTAGCTCAATTCAAATGAAGACACTCTTCCCTGAGTTGATAGAGAATATGGATGAGCCTGAAGTTCCACTGGATGGTGTGGTTGGAGGTGTTGATCCAGAGCGCTGGGAGTCTCAGAACTTAAACCCGGAAGAGATGTTGGAGAATAGTCTTATTGGGGAAGAGGTACAAGAACTAACCCAAGAGGAAAGGTTGGCCCTTGCTAAGAGTAAAGATGTGGCCTGCTTGGAGAACTACGGGATGTGGGAGAGAATGTTTGCGAAGGAGAAGTAAGGATGCAAGAAAACTGTGAAGAATTTAGAGGATAGAAGTTGTCCAACTAAGGACAAGGAAGCCCCAAGTGTGACCCCTCAGAATTCCCACGGTGAAGAGATTGGCAGGACAGGTTTAGTCCCTTGGCAAGATGGTGTTCTTGACAGACTCGGTAAAGAGGTGAAGGTGGCAGAGTATAATATGTATTTGGTTCTCAATGGATGCATGCTTATAAACTTTGGCCAGCTGGCAGCTTGCACACCTAAAGACAAAAACAATTTTATGGAAATTTAGAGCCTATTGAAGTTCAAACCATACACTCTTCCAATGTGCCGATTAGCTACAGAGCCAAGCGTAGCCACCTCAAGGATCCATCACAAATGGTTAAGAAGACAGACCAGAATGTGGACACATCTGATTTAGGCATTGCTATAGAAGAGCTCCCAAAGGCAAATGAGGTAGAGGCCGCACTGCTGTGCTGTCTAGAAAGAGAAAGGTAATCAGATACAGTGGGTACGGAAAGTATTCAGACCCCCTTCAATTTTTCACTCTTTGTTATATTGCAGCCATTTGCTAAAATCATTTAAGTTATTTTTTTTTCCTCATTAATGTACACTAATGTACATTAATGCACCCCATATTGACAGAAAAACACAGAATTGTTGACATTTTTGTGAAGGGGGTCTGAATACTTTCCGTACCCACTGTATGTGAGACTGTTGGAAGCGACGGGCTCTATGTTGACTTTGGCACCCAGACCTATGACTTCCATTCTGTTCCATTCAAAAGTGATGCATCTTTGGCCGATGTTGTTGCGGAGCAGCCTCAAAACCTACATGTGCAGATTCAGACCGAATGTGTGACTAGGAGACACAATAAATCCTGCTCAGCCTTCACTTACCTGTGCTGTCATGCCTTCAGGCGTGATGAATACCCCTGGCACTTTAGGAACGTGCATGGAAACATCCAGTCATGTCTTACTGGCTGGTTTTTACAGCGGTGCCCGCTGGCTTACCTTGGTTGCACCTTTAGCCAGAAGCAATTTTGACCATCTAATTAGCAGGCTACCTTAAGCTATGATACGGATCTTAGCACTTTCATCTTACAACCAAAGGTGGCAGCATCACTTTACAAAGGAGTAAAAACCATTAACAGTGAATGTAAACGAGCAAGGAATTTAGATTCTCTGAGCAGACTTCCTTTTGAGATCTTACAACACATAATGAGTTTTCTGGATAGTGTGTCTTTGGGTCATCTGTCTCGAGTTTCTCAGTTAATGAGGGAGGTATGCAGCACTGTTCTGCAGCAGAAGGGCACGGTGTCCCTCAAATGGGAGAACAATACATATTCTCATGGTGGATTCACCTAGAGGGCCAGAAAAAAGGTAAATGCTTTTCTCATATAAACCTGTATCCTGTTACTTTTTTCCTGTGGAACACAAAAGAAGACATTTGTAAGAATCTTTAAGCTGCTTTTTGCCCCATTCATAGTAAGTACAACTGTTCAGTTATTAAAAACACCATAAACCAAGCAAACACAAAACGTTCCTCAAACATTAGTGTATGTTCCTCTTTGGAGATCAATTCCTATCATTCTAGGAATGTTCTTTTTAGGTTTTATTTTATAAACTTCAACCAATGTTCCCCAAGCATTGCCATGATGTTTTTGTGCAACCTAATAAGAACACATACAGTACACAACATTCTCTAGTGGTTATTTTGAGGTTTCTAGTTTGTTCTTGTTAGCTGGGAAGGCACCATAAAATAAGTATTCAAATTTTTGTGAAAACCTTATTAGAGCTTCAGTAACAGCCGTATTATTATCAATATTGTTTAATATTGTATTATTAATTTAATTATTCATAATGAGACTCACATGAGTCTAAAAATCATGTGCACAGTCACAGTTCAATCCCCCAAAAAACTGCAATGCTTTCCAGCCCATCTAATTTTATTTCAGGAGCATTAGCTGTGTCGGAGGGCACAATAAACATCCTAAGTACGTTGGTGCTCTGTTATCTGTTCTCTGAGGTATGTGGGTCAGAGAGCAACAGAGAGGACATACATGGGTCACTTTACCCTCATACCCTCAGGTCATTTAGCAACACTTTCTTGAAAGTTTGCTGCTGGATGACAGGTGGTCACTCTCTCTCTTCGGCCATTGTTTGGGAAGTAACCGATCTTAGCATTTAACCAGTATCGGGTGTAACCTGTATTGAGGAAAGTCAATGAGAATAGTGCTTTGGAATTGAGATCACCATAGTGATGAATTTATAAATGCATATATATATATATATATATATATAATAATCTTAAAAAAGTTATTTTCTTGTGAAAAGTATTGCATTAATTTTCTATGCCAATGCTTGAAATTTCCATGCCATTTGAGATTATTATTATTATTATTATTATATGCAATGACATAATTGATATATTGGAGCTTTCACATCTCCATGTAGGCATGGGAGTTCAGCAGTCTGTTCTCTCCAGTGGATTCATGGTCTTTGAAGATATGCCCCCATGGCAGAGCACCTGAAGGTCTTTCTACCAGAAGGAGATCAGAAGTGAACCTGTGGCATTACCCAGCATGACAGATCTCCAGGAAAGAAGAGGAGAGTTCCAGACACTAGTCAATAGTGTCCTCACTACTGACAAGGCACATGGAAAATAATAGACTGCTAGTAGCACACATAAAATAAAAGCATGCTGCAAGCAATGACCCCCTAAATATTTCCTAGATGAATTTATGTTTTAGTCAATGTCAACTTTGTATGCTGTTTTAAAGAGATTTTCTTTCTTGGGTAAAAGTTCCTAACTTTTGACAGATCATTGCTAACCTCTAGTGGCTGAAAAATGCACTGCTATATAAGCAGGCTTCAAAAATCAACTTAAGGGGTAGTTCCCAAAAATACAAATTTTGTCATCATTTATTCACCGTCTTGTTGTTCCAAACAAGTATACATTTATTTCGTCTGTGGAACACAAAATAAAATATTTTGAAGCATGTTGGTAACCAAACAGTTGCTGGTAGCCATTGACTTCTACAGTATTTTTTTTTTTTCTTCCCTATACTATAGAAGTCAATGGGTACTATAGCAACCTGATGGTGAGTAAATGATGATGTAATTTTCATTTTGGGGTGAACTGTCACTTTAATATTATACATTTATATTTAGTGAGATGCCAAAGACTACTAGTGAAAATGCTTCTATTTTGCATTTAATACCAGGTTAACGAAAAATTATACTATCAGCATAACAATTTGATTGATAAGTTTAGAAAAAAAGTATTTATTTTGTCCTACATTTGGTTTAATGACAGCAACGCTCACGTGTATGAAATCTTCAGTTGCTCTTCAGCATGATTTTAGAATCTGTACAAACTATCATATGATCAATGTCACACATTTACTTATTTAAACAGTGACCTATATCTGAAATATTTCTCAATTTTATGTTTTTACTTTTTATATATATACATGTTTATTTCCATCATAAAGTTCCACTCATAAAGTTCCATCCACAAGTTTATTTATCTGTTCCTCCAGTGCTATCATAATTTTAGGTTTTAAATTGTAATATATATATTTTTTTCTTTCATTCTCTACATCCCCCAAAGTGACAATCACCTGAAAAATGTTTGACTTTATTCACAAAGTACAAGCAAAGTACAAAGTACAAGTTAATAAATGTATGCCTTTGTAACAATACAATGTATATACTTATTAGTATATCTTTCCATCTCTATGGCATGTCTGACATTTCTGGGTTGCGTAGTTTATCGATGACCTCTGACAGCATGCGGTTACATAGGGCAGCGTAGGGGTTCAAGATCACAGCCTGCTGCCGGGCAAACTCACTGCCTAGAGCTGCTGCCTTCTCAAAGTCCACCCGAGCCTCCTCATCACGACCCGACAACCTTAGAAGGAGCTTACGCTGGACCAAAATATGGTGACATTTCTGAAAAATTATATTACGCTGCTCCAGTGAGTGGTGCTAAAGTCACGTTCAGTTTTATCTGAAACAGATGAACATAAGTCTGGCAAGGTTTTATGATGTTTGTTGTTTTATGTATCATGTCCGCTCAAAAACTAAACTTCCTGTAAGTGGCAATAAAAGGTTAATGCTGTATTGTGTTTGAAAATATTGTATAACCTGCACCAAACAGATAGTGTTAACAAAACCAAATTAACATGAGATAAAAATACATTGGCTGAAGCATCCATGCCATTTTAGCTGGCATATACAAGTCTTTAAATGCTTGTATCGTGACTCACGTTTCACAGGACTCAAGCAAATATACTACATTTGTAAAGCCATACATACGGAGCTGGTTATGTGGTGCAAATGTCAAAATGTATTGGTTTACAAATCATGCACTATGAAAATATTTTTGAGGTAGTATTATGCAAGGAAATGCACGAAAATAAGCTTTTATTAAGCGATAATCTGCCCTTATAATCACGTTTTGTGCGAACATCAATGAAAGTTGTCGCCATTTTAATGCATTTTCATTATGGTCTCTGAAAAAAGAACTGCAGAAATTAAAGTTGGAAACCTTTTCAGCTGATTCTGGGGGAGAAAGAAGAAACGTATCACCTTCCGTATCTCCCTGCAGGCGTTTGGTCTGGGCTCGGTTGTTGTAAAGGAAATGCACGAAAATAAGCTCTTATTAAGCGATAATCTGCCCTTATAATCACGTTTTGTGCGAACATCAATGAAAGTTGTTGCCATTTTAATGCATTTTCATTATGGTCTCTGAAAAAAGAACTGCAGAAATTAAAGTTGGAAACCTTTTCAGCTGATTCTGGGGGAGAAAGAAGAAACGTATCACCTTCCGTATCTCCCTGCAGGCGTTTGGTCTGGGCTCGGTTGTTGTAGGCTGAAGCCCTCTGAGGCAGGATCCGGATGGCCTGGTTAAAATGCTGAAGAGCAGAGGGTAGGTCTCCAGACTCAGCAGCAGAAACTCCCTGCAGTTCCAGATCTTTCACCTGTTTCACTAGCTCTGATTCAAAAACACTGTCTAGAGAAAGACATATGAAAGAAATACACAATAATGTTCACAATGAGAACACATCTTTATAGCATTTGAAACTTTTGAGTATGAAAGACCTGATTTAATTCCCTAAGTAAACTGTGACATCTATCTATCTATCTATCTATCTATCTATCTATCTATCTATCTATCTATCGCCTCCTCATCACGCCCCGACAACCTAAGAAGAAGCCCACGCTGGACCAGAGCCTGACAGGCTGATCGCCCAATGCCGCCGCTGAGAGAAATGGCACGCTCCAGATCTTCCACTGCACCTGCAATATATATATATATATATATATCAGTTCAGTGAGATAACCCAACAAAATAACTCCACACTTGCCTTGTTTAAATCCATATAATTTAATGTGTTCTGTAAGATTTGTTCGGTAGATTTATTTATTTATTTTATTTTGTGTGTGTGTAAATGCATTTTGCAAAAGGTCAGTTTCCGAACAATTTGCTGCATCCTACAAATGACTAATATGAAATAGCTGAGGTAATGTCAAGCACAAATTGCAATGCTCAGAAAAACAACCACCTGAATCTGGATGCATTTGTATTATAGACATTAAATCATCATGACCTCTTCTGTATTTATACTCTCCATTTAGCTATACAGTCATAAGTCAGCAATTAACACCAACCGAATTTACTATTGCACTGGGGGCCACACTATG